ATTAGAACCAATTTTGTGGTCGTTTTGTACACAACTTTTATACTCTGGACGTCAGTCGTAATGAAATGAAGACAAAGTCCAACCTGGGCTAATTTAAGACATGCCTTGAAGTAGGGCTGTGGTGGCGACAGATAAGAGACAGATTGTAAAAGCGAGCCACTAGTACAGCCCTATTTGTGGGGCTAAGAACATTTATGAGCTCGCGATCGCCGCAGGGGAATCTACCGATTTCGTGGAATGCACCCTCACATCGGCAGAGCACCATTTTTACGACTGCAGATGATAAACGTTTGGTTCATTCATTATTCATCAAAGGATCCATCAGACTTTTTTCCAGCGCACGCTCACTGATCAGTCTTAATAGACTTCTCTTGGTACTCGTCTTCACTATGCGAAAAGTGGAATGTTTTAAAATCTGGAGTTGTCCACGCTTTTCTGGACGAGTGGGGGCGCTATTGCTGTGATGCAAATAAGAGAAGACACTGCTCAGTTTACATCTTCATGTTTGTTGAACCCAAAAATGTGTTCTTTGAAAACGTTTCTGAGAAAATGGCGCTCACTCGCTTATTGCCAAATAACAGAACTAAAATGCCAAAGAAATGGAAATTCAGCTAAGCCAGCAAAATATTTGAAAATTCCAGCAGTTTAGTGCAGCCTATAAATCAATGTAATGTTGAAGTTCAGTGCCCGGGATAACATCACAGTTTTGCTCATGAAGATGCAAATTGGCATTTGCAGAAAAACAAAACAGGCTCTAAAGTAGGCCTACAGATTAAAAACAGCTAAACAAAAATTTGAATATGATAAAACACAAAAGTGCAATTTAAAGAGCTCCAGTAAAATACTTGAAATGCATGGTTCCATAAATTCAACACAGTGGGATGACAAGCTGAAAATGACTGAAAATTTCACTTGTGGCCCTTTTAAAATTACGCACAGATGACATGATTTTCTGATAAGCTTTTTCCAGCCCAAGTCACCAAACTTTAAGAGATAAAAATAAAAAATTAAGCAACAGATTGAAGACAATTCAAAAACTCACACTACTATGACACAAAGTCAAATTAACTTAAACAAAATGACGAATTCCATAAAAACACGAACATAATATGTGGATACAGATCTGTGGTTGATGATTTTTATTTTAGGTAGGCCAAAAGAGATACAATCCTAATTTATGTACAAATAAGTCACACTTACCATTTCAGATCACCAGATCTATTATCTTTTGAGAGAATATCAAAATAATACATACATGCTTCTTCAGAAGAAAAGCAAACAACTTTTAAACATGAGATTTTGAGCTGTTCAATTCTTTGACTGATTGGAAAATATCTGGCTGAAGGACCAAGAAATGTTGATTTAAGTTTCATATTCTGTAGTGAAAATAACAATGATTTTTGGAGGGTCGTCAATATGGTGAAGCTCTAAACTGACAAAATTCTCCTAACTTTCACCACAAGTTGACAAAATCTACCAAGATCCACCCTTGACATTTTGGGATATTTTTGCAAGAAAAACCTATTTGTGAACTCTTTTTTTTCAATTTGTTAAAGTTATTGGCATTAAAATAAGGTGTAGTGCAAACATTCAGATCTTCTAAGCCAATTATTCTAACAAGAAAAGTTTAATTTTAACATGATTAATTTAAGATTCGGGTTGAATAAAGCATTACGACCCATCATGATTGAGTGATCAAGTCAGAAATTGTCATTTTGTCAGTACAATGAGAAAAAAACAAAATTTGAAAGGTAAATTATTTTAGTTTTGTTCGGCTCTGCCAAATCATCTTTGCTCTATCAAATGTGTTTAACCCTGAACGGCCCAGGTGGGATGAGGATCCACATCCAAAACATTTTTTCCAATACCACTGCAGTGCTGAACCCTTAAGAATTTTTTTAGTAACTTGTTGCCGTCATTTTGATGCAAATGTTTTCAAAATCAAATGGACTGTTCTTGTGCAGTGCCCATTTTTCAAAGACAGGACAGCCAACAATGTAAATCTCCAGCGCTGTGTTCCATGCATGCAGACCAGCAGGTGTGTGACCTTCAACTTCACATAATCATAACACTAAACCATACATTATATTAAGTTGAAACTCACTGACAAGGAGCATTTTTACATGAACGATAATTTTTAGAAAAAATCAGGCACGTACTGACACATTCTTGGGAGGATCCCCCCCCCCCAGATGTGAGATGGTCCAAAATACTCAGCTACATTTAGGGTTGAAACTCACTATCAAACCTGATAAAAAAAGGGCAGCCCCTTTATAAATTGAATGATCCTTGCATGTGGTTGGGATGTTAAGCACCGCCTTTTTAAAAAATTACACATACTGTACATTCACAGTGTATTTCCAGTGCTGAAAATTGGTGAATTTCAACCCCGTTTGTCCTTTCCATGTGTATTTCCGTGTGTTATTTTTCTTCACTCTTTCCACCTCCCAAAATTCATGCCACGGTCAGCACACCAGGACCTGACGAAACCAACTCAGCACCTAAGAATTGTAAGAAGTCAGGGACCCCCTCATGCCCCTCCCTACCTCCAATGTCCATCATGTAGGATGTAAACAGGATCAAAATTCAAACATAGCAACATTTTCAGGCCATTAAAAGCGTCACCCTGGAGTAAAATCACATCCTTTTACTCTAGGATACAGTTCCTTGGGTGGGGATGACTTAGACCCCCCCCTCAATTTTGACAGACGGGTTCCCCCCACCGTCAAGTTGGGCTTGGTCATCATGCATGGTATGGTCATGACTCATGTTGGTTAACAAAATACAGAGACCCCTGTTGACAGGGAAAACAGAGAAGGCGCATTTATCTAAATATGTGGTAGGCCTACTCTACAGTAAGTATGCCGATTTCTTCAATTATTCTTTATTCAATCTTAGCATAGGCCTACCTGTCTCTTTGATTTACTTAGCTTTGCGTTCCTTTCTGTTCGATATATACTTTCGCGCCGCAGGTTTGGAAGCCCGTCTAACACTAGCGCCCTCTTTTGACGTATTCTGTATTATTTCTGGGGAACTTTTTGAAATAGGTACGTTGGATTGTACATGTACATGTAGACGGCTAAGTAAACAGAAATCTTTTTTCAGGTGTCGAAACATAAACGAGAAAAAATCTGCGTATAGGATGCAGAGGACATGCTTGTTCCCGCTTCTCCCAACAGGAAAAATGTTCAAGGTGGAAACATCCGGATTCTGGCGTGTTGAGAACAAATGTTAGTCCATATCCGTCTTCATCAAGGCCCTGATATCGCCGTCATTTCCCGCGGTCATAAAACTGCAGAAAGTCTCTCGTCTTCTCTGTTAATTGAGGAAGTTATTTTCTCCAAACAGTTGTAACAGTCCCAGGAAATGATTTAACCTTCAAGTTTCCACGTGCTCAAGATATCAGCCCCTTTTAAAGTACCTCAGTAGGGAACGTTATGATGAAAAAATGACATGATGAAATAACACCAAAAGATGACATGTGAAACACCACCAAAAAAAGGCATGATGAAATAACACCAAAAAATGACATGATGAAATAACTTAAAAATAAACCCAAACAAAAATAAACAACACCCTCAAAAAACAAACACTCACATACACATTTTACATACGAGTGTGGACATTCCGTTGTTCTCCTGTGGTTAAGGAAAATGCTCCTTTTTCTCCCACAAGGATAACTCCTTCCAAGCTGGACTGTTCCTCTTCATTTTGCCACAGATAACCTTGACCCAAAAATTCCTCTGAAACTGTTTTTCAGAAAGGGGAAACATTGTGTGGACGTGTGCAAGTCCACACAATGCTATCTTACCCTGCATTATGTGGACATCTTTAGTGCAGAGGTCTGCACTTTGTATGGCACACCTGGACACAAGAACACTCATCTGTTGTTTTAAGGCCTTGCAACTTCACAATATAATGTTTAATCATGCAAAAAGGCTACATTACATACAATTTCTTGACCATCATTTGTTGATCGTTCACAACCTCATGGAAATTTATTTCCAGAAGTATCTCTCATCAGCTACAAAAAGAATACCTAAAATAAAGTTATTAGACTGGATGACATAATCAGAGTTTGTTTTGCACCTGTTTTCATCCCCGTTTTCATGTCCGCCCAAGTTGAGTAAAAAATAATGAATTAAACATGGCTGGCAAAGATCTTCAGCATTAATAGCTTACCCACACGATGCAAGTGCCCCACTGCTACTTTTAGCACAAATTGAACACAAAAATACGGTGTATACTGTTATGTCACAGCATGGGAATAAAGCACAGAAAATGCTCCATGGTTGGCATTTTATTCATTTTCTTTTGTAGCATGCATTCCTCTTCCGTACATTTTAATTTTCTTTTGGTCCTTTTTGCATTATTGTTTCTCCACAACACTCCCAAACCTCCCACACAACAATGTAACTACCCTCCTTGATGCAGGTCATGACGACTTGGCTCCATAGGTATAATGTGTGAAAAAAGCCCCCCCCCCAATTAGAGTCCTATGCATTGCCCAGTGCCTGAGGCAAACATTCAGGCACTTCATAGTTACCACAATACACAAAGTGACAGAATCAAAAATGCGGGCATATACATCCACAGCGTGCACACAAAATGCATAAATGCACTGGCCTCCATACTGATAATGTCACCCTTTATTTACACATGGGCCTCTTCATGGAAGCCAGGTAAGGGTGGCAAATTTTAAGTTCCATAGGAAAAGCGTACAAGTAAACAAAGTGTGAGGTCATCGGTACACGGGCCAAATAAGCCATTTGCTAGTTAAATTTGAATAAAATGTGGTACACTGAGTTCTTTAAATTCATAAAAACAAAACATAAGCTTGCCCCGAATCATGAGGTATAGTAACAGTGTCTTAGTCTGGGGAATTCAAATTGTTATGTTTCTGTGCAATCAGGTAACACAGTGTACCAGATTTTGTTCAAATTTAACTCACAAGTGGCTTATTCAACTTTGGGGAAAATTAATGCAAATCGACAGCGGTATTCTAGGAAAAAGGAAATGAAAATTTAATGTGATCTTTCCTTGGACCACTGAAAGCCATTTACAGTCAAAACAAACTGCTGACATTTTCCACTGGGAATTTGCAGTTGGCAGCAGGCTTAAGACCAACATACAAGTTGCTTTTTATTTCATGTTTTTTAAGTATGTCTGAGGAAAATGAACTCCAAATCTAATGAAGATGTTGCCTGAGCAACGCAGGGAAAACATGTATTTCTTTGGTTACAAGAGAGATCTCTGACCAGTGCATTCTTTACTTTGGCTCAATTAGAAAAAACATATTACCAGGTAAAATCTCTAGGTATTAATAGTTGTCAGGCAAATTCCTTGGGTAATGCAATTGATCTGACTCATATGCCTTCAATTACAAATCAGACCAGGCAGAGAAAATATATCAAAAACATTCTTCAAAAGTTTCTAAAAATTACTACAAAATTGCTTTGGCTGTTTGGTGTCACATTATTACCACAGAACATTTCTTTTTTTACTTCCCTTAAAAAATTAAAAAGTTATCAAGCTTCAGTCTTTCCTTTTGGCAATGCAATAGTTTTGGAAGGTATATCCAGTCCTGTTAAAGCCTGGTCGTACTTGTGAAATATTTAAAACGTGCACTGCATGCAATGTACAGTTGTTAAACTTGTTCATATAAAGTATACAGATAAAAATTGAAACTGAATTTACTGGCATGCATTTACAGAAATGGCATATTACTTGTTGATTCAGAAATAATTATGATAAGTTTAAGTTCACATTACTCCACGGATCCAAACTATGTGCTTGGGTTAAAGATATTAGAAAATAGGAATTTGCCGACATTTGCCGACTTACATACTAAATATATTTGACACTGAAAAGCGTCAAGTGATGGCATTATAAAAATGTTAAATTCTTCAATAATTTTCTGCAAGTAATATGGACCTCTTGCAAGATCTCATTTTTTCGGGGTGGGGCCAATAAATGGGTGCAAAACTGTACATAAGATTTATGGTTGATAAAATGTTTAATTTTAACAAGATTAAGATTGACTGCAATAACAGTTTGCTGAAGATATCAATTCAAAGAGCCTGTCAGCTATCAAGAACAATTATGCAAATGAGATGCAAATTCATGCTTGTTACCACAATCCTTGCCACAGAAGTTACATTCAAACGGTGAACGGAATCCATGAGCGCCTCTGTGGATGGTGAACAGCACATTATCCGGGAAAACGATGTTGCAATGGACACAGCGGAATTTGCTCGGGTTTGCTTCACCCCTCTCTGCTGAGGATGGAACGGTCTGGGTCGACACTGTGACCCTGTTGCTGTGTGTTGTGGTGGGTGAAGGCATGCTGAGCAGGGGGGTACCCTCCCTGGCTGAAACGGGCTGCCCCAGGCTGCCGTCCTGACTCGATCTGCTGGCACTTCGCTGGATTTGGACGTTTGCAAATGCGCTCTCTGAGATCGTCTCGGAGCTGAGCCGCTCTTGCCGCCGAGTGTCACTCGGAACCCTGTCGTCAATGTGCGAAACTGACGGCCAGACTTCCGGGCAAAGCTGGGAGCCCGGCGACTCTTCTTGCTTCACGACCGGAGGTACTGCAAAGTCACTGTGTGAGATTGGTACAGAGACTGGGGAAGCCTCAGTCATTGCCGACTGGTTTGTTGGATACGTGACGACAAAACTGCTGGAGCTGGTGATGCTGTCTTGGTGTGTAATGCCTTGCTGGTGAATGCCTTCCTCGGTGGTTTCCCTCTGCTCAAGGGACGTGGTCTCAGGGTGAATGGTAAGGACATGGTTAATGAGACCATTTTCATCTGTAAACGTCAACAGGCAGTGACTGCAGCAATAGAGGCCATTGTTGCTTTGTCCATCCGGCTTTTCCTCGGTCAGGCCACTCTCGTCGTCATTTTCGATTATTTCGATGACCTCAGGCCCGCCGTCCAGCGGGGTGATGAGAGAGCTGCTGGCAAGGAGACTGTGCTCGGACAGATCATTCAGGCTCGCCTGCCTCGTAGTCTGCGGATGCGGCCGTTGATACTGGGAGGCTCCGCTTGAGTTTCTCCTGCCCGCCTGGATAGGCTGGAACGTGCTCGCCACTACTGTGGGCGTCACCACGCTGCTGCCGATCGTGGGAAAACTGTTGGTGGTGGATCGTATCAGCTTACAAGGGGTTGGGCTGATCTGCAGCACAGCCTTCTGCTGGGCTGCAGCGTAGCGTCTGCTCTGCTGTGGCTGGTTCAGTAAGGGTTCCGTTGGTTGTTGCTGGGTGGAAGCATTACTGATGGCTAGTCCTTGGTCACCGGTCTGACGGCAGGCAAACTCAGCCATGGCAGGGAGGTAATCAGGGAGGTACGTAGGGTTCAGGTACGGGGAGATCTCGCTGATGGTGGTAGTCTGGTGGACTTTCAGGAGGTGGTACATGAGTTGGCTCTCGCGTTGGCAATAGAAGCTGCGACACTGGAAGCAACGGTACTGGCATCGTTCTTTGTGTTTTATCTGCGAATAGCGGCCAGCAGAAAAAAAACGGGTAAGGTTAGGATTATGTACACTGGAACCTACTGTCATTCAAACAAGCTTTTTTGGGGGGGGGACAGAGATCTGCTTCCTCCGGCACCATATCCCACATTGTCACACCTCAGCGAACATGATCAAGTCTGTCCCCTTCCAATGTTCCCCTCTCGCGCCCCTACGCACCCACAGTTCGGCTTCAATCTTCACATATTAACGAGCGCCAGGGCAAACATAAGCCTCACAGCAGCCTCCTGACAACAGACAGCATACACTGTTCCAAACCATGAGTAAACCGGTCCCTTTCATAGCCACACATGCAAGAGAGAGATATCTTGCTACAGAATGTTACCGCAAACCATTTGCCTAGTGTATACCCATCATGCAAACCTTGCAAATTTTATTTCACATGTGTAAGTATAGAATACCAAAGTGAATACGTCACATGCACACTTATGTGTGGAAAAGGCATCAGTGCAAGAACCAGTGTGCGAACAAATGCGCGCAGGTACTCCGTTCATTTGCGCTGCTTTTTCTGGTTCAAAGTGACGTCACACTTCCGTAGTCTATACAGGATAGGAAGCTCTTGGGCAAAGCCTACATGCACAGAGTGCTATAGATTTAGCTTGAATTAAGTTATCATGAAACAAATTATGCACTTTCTTGAATCCTTCTCAAATGTAATCTGCCCGAACCGGGTTCTGGTTTTTTTCACAACAAAATGTTTAACATTCTGCCCCAATCACGGAGAAAGGGAGAAACAAGGGGTGCGTATGCGTACATGGGGAAGGTGGGTGGAGCCACTGTGTGTGCCATGCGTACAGGGAGGGGGGGATCTAAAAGTCGGCAGTTTGTAGTATGCATGATATGTCTGATGCTTGAGGTCATACCTGAACGTGCTGCCGAAGAGTCGTACTTTGCACGCAGGAATAGGCACAGTAGTGGCACTTGTGTGGTCTCTGGAATGTGTGCATACGCCTGTCAGTTTAAAAGAAAAACTACAAGATCAGGTAGATGTCATTAAATTAGGGTCGAGAATCCTTTAAAAAAAATGCACTGCTGTCTCGATTCAAATAAGGCGTGTTCACAGTCCATTCAAAACTGGGCCAGTTGATCTTTGCCGGTAGATAATACGAAAAAGCGCTATCATTTTGAACCTGGAGGGTGTTGTGCAAACGAACAGAGTACGCGGGTGTGTTGGTTAAAGTGCTAATGCTTCTTACAGACTTCACTGAGCATGTGACGTATTCACCTCGGTAATCTATGAAGAGTTTACTGAAGACTACTGACGGAGACTTTGAAACTTTGCTGGTGATATGCTCTGGGCCTTATTTCTGCCTTGTGGAAATGCTGGCAAAATTTTGTCGGCCGTAGAACAAATACTGTTGGTTTAATTGGATTTGACACATTTTCTTTTCTCTTGTCACATGCTCAATTTGAAGCTTTGTGTTGTCCTGGTCACCCTATGAACGGTCCCTCTATGGCTTTATAATATCAAAACAGTTTGCATCAATATTATCTTGGATCACTCATTTTTTGTTGAAAAGCTCAGTATTTCCATATTCTTGGATGGATTCTATATTGGACTGTTGGGCGTATCATTTGCCTTCAAGTGTCTGGAATCTGCTTGAAACATGCCTCCATAGTGCGATTTTTGCATTTTGTAAATAAGAAAATTCTCCCTTCTTTTTCATGAACTTAGCATTAGAATATTCAAACACAACAAAATAATGATCGCGTATTCAATATTGGATCAAATATTCAGATATTCAGCACAGCCCTAAAGTGTCTGTATCCTTAAGGGGTAAGAATTGTTTCATGGTCTAGTCCTTTTTTCTTGAGTTGCATGTTTTCACTACACTAAAATCTCAACTCACAACTTGGGTGTTCAACATTTTCCCAACAACAGACTAATCTGATAAGACACTATTACCACGGTGGCACCACGCACAAATGCACGTTCTTAAGCTTTGGGTGTATTTGACAAATTGTGACACCCTGTCTGCTCCAAATGGGAATAAGACGGGCTGCGCTTTTTCATACACGGCAACGATTATCCTTTGGTCCGTACTCAATGTGTGCGTGCACAGGTTCATACATATTGGATGCGCTGAACACGCAGGACCTATTTCTATTTGACTGCATGGTCATTGAATGCGCTCTGTTCACTTGCGCAAGCCCAGTATAAAAAAACATACCGGCAAGCTGTCTCTTTCGGGTGGATAGTGAACGTCGTGCCACTGGGGTGACGGCTTGGAATGAGCCAGTTAGGTATTGCAAAAAAAAGCAAAATCATTTGGAGACAAAGCGAGGGGCTAGTCCTCGTAGGGCAGCGCTGACAGGACAGACCCTGTACGCATGTCTGAATAACCTCCAACATGCTTCATGTTGGAATACCGAGCTGGTTCATTCCCCACTGTTGGTAGGGCTGTGCTGATTTCTGAATAACCGAATATTCGATCAGTTGTCGAATACTTGAATATTATTTTTCAAATTTGAATAATCGAATGCAAAATTCATGAAAAGGAAGGGAATTTCGTTTGGTTTAAATGAAAAAAAACCGCACTATGGAGGCTTGTTTCAAGCAGATTCAAATGAAAAGCATCAGAAATCTTACAACGATTTAAAAAGTAAATTATTCATTAAAAAATTAAAATGGAATAGAAATTTTCAACAGGGCAAGAAGTCTTGCTCATCTCTTAAATCTTGCCAAATCATGGCTGGAGATACTCCTAGATGTGAGGAGCTATTATATTGATCATAATGTACAATTGTGTGCATTATTGCAACTGATTTTACATATGATTTGCCCATCAACAACCTGGCGGTCAGTGCAACCGAACAGTCGGATATCTGATCAAATTAAAGGTCAAATATTCGAATAGTAAATTATACGAATTGACTCAGGGCTAGCTGTTGGATGAATATACGCACTGTTCGTGGACGTTGCAGTTGCTGCGGGACTCGGTGCTGTAGCTGCAGTAGCGGCATTTGAACGGCTTCTCCTGGCTGTGGTTCCTGAGGTGGTTCTTCAGCAGTGCCCGGCGTTTGGCCGTGAAGGAGCAATTGGGCCAGCTGCACTTAAACTTGGGGAATACGGAAGGTGTGCTGGAACTAGGTTTGTTGTTATTTGGCTTGGTCTGTAAAAGAGCAATCAACTCGTTGACCCTGCTCCTGCTGAGCTTAATATAGCCAGCACTGTCTTTTGATAGGGCAAGGTCACTTGGGATAATCTGGTGTCATGCCAGCTAGAACACGTTATATTGTGGCTATGCACACATAAGCCCTAATGACTCATGACATCGTGCATAAATTGTTGAAATGCTGGGTTTTTTTTAATCAATAGCATAATTTCATCCTTCAAAATGACTACAGGCCTAAAATATGTATCTTACTTCTAGAACCTAGAATGCTCACGGTGTGCCTTCTACTATACAGTCTACGGCATGCATGCAATCATAACTAAGCAGTTTCATGGTAATATGCACAATCTTGTTCACGTGGCAAAACGAACACAGATTGCTCAGCGCGCACATCAATCTAAACCTTTCTGCTCATCCAAGTCATTGTGCACTCATTCCAATACGAGCTTACGTCTAACAGTACGTGTTCTGTTACTAGCCCCGTGGACAATATGGGACACAAATACACCCCTGAAATCATTGTCATAGGCCTATGCACGTGCAAACCAGCACACTTATCATTGTTATATTAAGACAAATATTGACACATCAATGAGCGATTTCGACATACATGACATACTGACATTTCGGCTCCAATATTGAATTACACACAGCTTGCCTGCCAATGTCATACCATCATTGTCGTCATGCCACCTTTAGCGATGTCAACTCGTCCTGGGCCAACCTCCAGTCCTGACAAACATACTTAGCTACACTACAGTCAGACAGTAATATCTGAAATTGGATTGACAAAAAAAGGGCAAAGCAATGTGAGAAATCCCAGGTTCTGTCGTCTTGTAGAAGCTGCACTGAAGTTCCCTCATACTTTTATGATAAGAAACAGCTTAGTATTACCTTGATATGACACGTATCGGTAAGTTACTTGCGTTTTGATGCGAACTAGGGTCCCAAGCCATGGAAGTTGTATACATTATTTAGGCCAGTTTAGAAGCAGCTCGATGTGCATATGTGCGTGCATGTATAAAATAAACATCACAATGGAATTTCACAAACCTTGGCTTTGTTCCGAAGGGGTTCCAATGCGACTCATCAGGAATCATTTTGTGAGCCCTTAACACCCCCACTAAATGGAAGTACTTCCATCAGTGTTTGCACACCACAAAGTTATGATAGTTTATATGCTTTGCCTGTCTGCAAAAGTACGTTTTTTGCATCTTACGCACTGAGCAGGAAACTCCACAGACCTATAATTTAACATAGCCGATACAAAACTGAACCCGCAGTTTCGAGAACCAGACAAAAGAGTCTTTTTCTTGAAGTCTAAAATCGCTGAAGATAACTTCAAGCAAACCTTACATTAGACGCCCCGAAAAACACAAAGGAGTAATGTTAGCTGTTGCAGATTTCAATGCTAGTTATTTTCTTTTACTAATTCTTTTCTTGAACTAACAAACAAGCTAACCCAGCGTGGACTGATATCAAGTCTAAGAAGACAGACCGTAACCTTTCACCTTGACCTCGGCCTAAATAATTGTGTTGGTACCCGGCAGTGCGTCATCTCATATGAACGTACACAAAAGTTGGGAAACCACCGTCATGCATGGCATGGCAATGCACCTCAATGTTGCAATCTAAGTCCAGAAGTCGCTCAATTTCTCGTCGTTTCCGGCCTGTTTTGCTCACACTAAACCGTGACCATGGGTCAGATTTCCGCATGATTACGCCGCACCGGATTATCCAGAAATAGCCGTCCAGTGGAGCTGTGTTTTCCGGGAAGAGAATCGGGCTGTTCATGGAGCTGTTCCAAGCGGTCGGTGAATCACCGTGATCGGTACGTGGGCAACGACAGCCAGCGGTGTACTGCAGTAAAAATTGCGCTCAGCGGATGATCGTATGATCCATCGATCGTGGGATAAATGGCCGAGAACTAGCACCTCTTTTAAATCGGTTTAAATCCCAAATGGCATCCTTTGCAATGTTAGTGAACACTGAACTTGTAACGAAAAATGGCTGCTGCCGAAAAAGTGGTTATTAAGCGATCGAAGTCAAGGGAACAATCGGAGCCCGACGAGACAAGTTACAGATCAAACGAAATTGAGAAAAAAGCATTGTGGTAAGTGAATGTACCGGTATTCTATCAGTCACTCTCAGTCAATCTAGGCAGTACCGTTGCCAGTTGGCATGGCCGTGGTTGGACATGTTGGGTAATGCTTAATGAAACTTTGAAAGGCAGTGGATATTGGACCATGAACTGGTCCCTGTGATATGCGCGATTGTTGAGAATGCCCTACCTTTAACTTGGTTGGACACCACTTGACATCCTGTTCACAGACCCTATAGGCTAGGCCTAAAATAATATGAGACTGGTTTGAAAATTGAAATTGTGTTCTAAATGAGTACCTCAATATTGCCGCAGCTGAATTAGGCTATTTACGTGTAGGACATTTTAATTGCTTTCAGATGGCTAATAGGTCACTGTGGGAAAAAAATAGTGGCATCTAAATATATGGAATCCTTTCTAAAGGCTAAATGGACCATTGTCATACTGAATTCTTGGTGAGTCCGTGTTTTTCAAAGAGACTGAGAAATTTGTATTTTTCTTCTTGACAAATCTTCATCTGGTTCTTTGCTTGCCATTCTGAATATGCTGAATTTGTGTTCATGAAATCAAATTCAGACCAGTTGCAATTTTGGACCCCCCCCAAAAAAATCTGCCAGGTTCGTGAATCACTCAAAAGAAAGGAAATTTATGCTTCTCGTTAACTCATCACCACCACACTCTTACTCAATTCCATTTGGGAATTTAGCATCTGTTATCAGTCTGATAATAATACTGGCCATATTACCCCCATAAATGGCGACCCTTCATATTAATATGACTGTTCATTGTTAATAGAAACGGTTGTTGTCCTTTAGGTTTACATGTATAGTATGTCCATGCCAGACCATAATAAAAAGGGTGTCAGACTAGCCATGCCCGCCACATGCATGGCGTCATTCTATTTAACGTCAACAAGCATCAACACACACAAGTAGCATCAACAAAGTGTCAACAACTTGAAAATACCCTCTACAGATGATACAGATGAAAAAGTGGTTTTATTGAGACTCTAACACTTGCCACTGTAATATAAGACTAAGAGAAACACCCAATTTGCTTCCAGATTCTCCAAGGACAATGGAAATTTTTTGTGATGTACGTGGCCGCCATCTTTCTTTCCTCTGCCGTCCATGCGAAAACAAGATGGCGGCCGGTCGGACTGCACATACAGACCCGACTTTGTCACTCAAATTTCAACAGTCAAATATTTCAGATAGATATTATACATTGAATTTGATTTGTAGGATCCTAATTAACATTTTACATAAATAATCTTTGCATAAATAGGCTTGAATAACTTGTTAACACTTTGTTGACGCTCGCTGACGCTTGTTGACACTAAATAGCATGACCTAATACATGTAGTTCTGGACTGTTCCATATTTAGTTTGATATACTGTAAGTTTACTTTTTCGCAAAGTCACCTCTGACAGCGTTAGCTTAGATTTGTACTGAAAAAAGTACAAGTTGTGGAGTTTTTCCATTAGTATTCATATGAAGGTTGAAGGCTTATGTTTATCATTGTCACTGCCAACTGTTTAAATGTGTCTTTCCTGAGTTTCATCTGATTGTCTGTTTAAGATGAGCTCATTCACTTATAAATATAGGAATGTCCAGGTTACATGACTTGTACAGTTGGGTACGTGTCCTTGTAACTTTAGACACAACAACACTATGGTCCACAGTAGTCTTGCTTGGGCATGCATGGTTTGACAATCGGAAAAAGACCCCTGTGTGCATTATTGTACCAGTCGTTTTTCTCCACCCCTCCAATGGCTTGGAAGAACCACTCAAGGTCAACACTTACTGAACAGGATTTCTGGTGCAATACTGTTTGTAATTCTTGCTCTGCATTTTCCGGTCAACATGTCAGTGGGCTGTTAGTTTAGCACAGGAGTTGGTCTGGCATGTTTAAGTCAACATGCGAAATGACCGATCAGGTAGTGGTCTGAGGAATCATTGAGATTGTCAAAGGATTCAACATTTACGTGTATAATCAACACTTACACTGTACATGCACCTCCACCAAATCTTGGATATACATGTACTTGTTTCTCCCTTGTATCATCATGAGAATGAACTTTCATTCAAATTGTCTTATACCCCTAACCCCAAAGGGTGTATGTAAAATCATATTGAAATCAGAGGATTTGGGAGTGTTAGGGATACACGTACAAACTTGTACTGTACACATGCATGCATTTATACTGTAGAGTGAAGTGTCCTTTGCATAGAATTGAGAAGGGCAACATTCTAGTGATAAACATAACTGACTGTGAGAGCCCAACGAACAGAGATACTACACGTTCAAGTGCGCACAAGTTACATGTTTGACACGAGTAAACAAATTGACTCCAAGTCAAAGTGTTGTTGTCAGCTTCCTGTCAAATATACCAGCAACTTGTTACAATAGCAACACTTTTCCATTGCGCTGTGTTGTATTATATAAGTATATTATTATTATTGTTTTTTATTTGGCATAACACAAAACAAGCAATACAAAACGGCAATGCAAAACAGAACAATGCAGTACACAGTACAAACGATTAACCAATGGCACATACCAAGAGTTGAAAAAGTTAACTTAAAAACTGTGACCCAAGGGCCTCCAACTCCACTGCCACTGGCAATGAAATAATCTAATGTAAAACAAACTAGATTTTTACAGCGATCTTGAAAACAAAACAAAACAAATTTACAACATAAAAGTTACAAAAAAATGAAATTTAGAATAAGACCAATTCATAAAAGTTAATGCTAGAAAAAAGTAACAATTACACGGTACACAATTTCGAACACTTTATAAAATTATATGTAGTCTTCTGTTGGTAATGCCCACACCAGTTACACAGTGGTAACTAAGATGCACAAAGCATGTTCAGTTGTTCACTGCACAAGTATGTGAGGTAACTAAACCACAAGCACAAATCCCATAGCAACATGTACATGTACTTTACCAGTACCCATGGCAACCAGAGGGCTGTGTCGTTCCACATACGGTACATGCACAGGGATATGTACCGGTATGTACAGGTATGCATGTTTCAAATTGTTGCGTGGAACAAATCCACTGTGACTGTGAGTGTTATCAAACAGTTTTGAAGGTGGGACGGGATGAACGTTTGTGAAAAATGGCCAAAATTCACAGAGAAGTCTAAGAGTTTGGTGAGGACGAATTTGTTTGGAATGCCAAACTTTGCAAAGTCATAATGTGGCTTTGGAAATCTGATTTTCACACTGGACAAGACAAATTTTACACTTTTTATTTTGATCTGCATTAGGCCAGCAAGATTGTAGTTGTGAATTTTTTTGACCAATACCTGTATGTAGGCTTCCACGTGGGATTTTGGCTCTAATTAATTAATTGAACAGTCTTTTTTTTTCTGTAAGCTTGAAAAAAAGTTAGCCAGGCAGAACGTCTCTCAATTCTCAAACTCAATAAGGGGAAAAAGTGTCTTTGCAATGCATGTATAAATCTGTGTATGTATAATTTGGTCGGAGACATTTTCAGCTTGTCTATGCCTTCTGAAACGAAATCCTTATTTTTTTTACACAGTAGTTTTAAGATTAATCAAATAGGAAAATGTGACCATTGATTAATCAACGATTTACAGAAGAATGTGTGTGGCCCTACCGGTACCATGTCTTTAATTTAAAAAAAAAATAATTTCATATAATATCATTACTCACTCCAGCTCAGCTGACTTGAATGTTTGAAGTCACAGGCTTTCAAAGGGTCCATGCGAGGGATTTTTCTCTTTCTGTGCATCTTTAAGCTCTTCATTCTACATGTATGAAAACTGTGATACACATCTTATAGGGGTTTAGAGTATTGAAAAGTGTACTTTTAAACAGTGAACTCAAAATTTGTTCATGAATTGAAGACACCTCTGAGGAACTTGCTCCTTGGCTTACTGTGGAACTCTAGATCAAGCAAAAAGGGAAATTTAAGACGGCAAAATGGTAAAATTTCCAGCAGTCATTTGTTACAACATTGAGGTTTTCTCCCAGGGATGATGTCACAGTTTTGCCCGTAAAGTTAGACATTCGCATGAGCATAAGAATCCCAGTGGTGCAAAGATACCTCATCTTCCAAATGCCGGTAGCGAGACAAAACTTGATTGGTTGAATGAACTGTAATTTTGTGCATTTTCAAGGGCTGTAGTGAAATAACCGCAGTGTATGGTCCCTTGAAGGCCAGCCAGCCGGCCGTGGTCAGATAATCAGTGGGAGGATGGAAAAACACAGCCAGGATGCCTATTGCTTCATGTGGTGACATCATCAGGCGATGGCTGTGATGGATAGTGAAAGATTTGCTGATTCAGGATGCCAGTAGCACTCGGTTAGGTCGCCATTGCATTTTTGCATATAGCCTGAATCTAAAAAAAAAAAAAGAGACTAAAAATTCTCACAGAGGGTTGGCCAGATTGTTGGCCACTCGTTTTCATGAATAGGTTTGTGAAATTTACAATTATCATACACCTGTACATGTACAGTACGTGGATCTGTTATAAATGGGAACAAAAAAATAACTGAAGCAGGATTTGAACCCACGGTCACTGGAATACGGTATCTATCCCTATGTTGGTGGCTCTTCCCATTTGTCAATATCTTTCTTTGGGGGGTGCTAACCAGAAGCCATTAAACCTGAAACACCATATATGGTAGCCAGGGATCACACCCCAACAACGATACAACCTGGGAAGTGGTGAGCAGGGATCACTCAAGGAAGATGCAGCTTTTTGATCATAAATCATGAAACAACTTATATAAGGAAACTTACTTGCAGCTTACAAATGATTATGAACAAAGATGAACCAAGAATTGACTGGAGCGGGATTTGAACCTGTGGCCTCTGGAATACTGTACCGGTGCTCTACCAACTGAGCTACCCAGGCTTATGTTGGTGGCTCTTCCCATTTGTCAATATCTTTGTTCAGGGGATGCTAGCCAGAAGCCATTAAACCTGAAACACCGCGTGCATGCACATATAGCCAGGGATCACACCCCAA